TTCCCAAGGTGAAAAATATTTCTTGGGTTACTCAACAAAGTTGTTTGACTCTTTCACACATAATAAATAATGGTAAGGAACACAAAACAACATTCTGAATTATCAAACATTAAATATATTGGTGAAATACAACAATCAATGTCAAATGTGCCTGCACAAATGAAGAGGACGTATAATTGAACCATCACAGTGTACCTAAAAGTTTTCCAGAGAAGTCTTAACTTTTCAAGAAAAAAATTATGAAGAAAATTAATATTGAAAAATGATAAATGGGGAGATGGTATCATTTAGGTTGAGAACTCTGGAATTAGACTACTTGGTTTTAAATCAATTTGGCAAATTACTGAACATTTCTATGTCTCATTTTTCTGAGATAAATAACAATATATTAAGTAAGATATACTTAATCTTGTCACACTGAAAGTATTCAAGTAACCACCAACAATTGTCAGTAGTTTGAGAGTTAGTTACATCTCAGTAGTCTGTTTCTTTTTGAAGGGAACCACAAATTTTCTCTTGGAAGAAAATGAAACGTCAAATATTTATTATTAGAGACTTACTGCTTATTATTAGAGACTTACTGCTTATTATTAGAGACTTACTGCTTTGGTTTTTTTGTTTGTTTGTTTTGTTTTGTCTTTTGGTACCGGGAATCGAACTCATGACCTCAGGCTAGCCAGGCAATCTCTTATGCTGCTGAGCTACATTCCCAGTCCTTACTGCTTTGTTTTCACTGCTTTGGTTTTGTTTATTTGTCACCAGGTCTAGTCAAGTTCTAAGAACAATTAGACTAACCACTGTTACTATCAGTAATCCTCAAACTTAGAAATTAATTCAAGAAGTATTTTAGAACATCAAAAACAGGGGTTGGGGATATAGCTCAGAGGTCCAAGCACCTGTCTGGCAAGTGTAAGGTCCTGAGTTCAACCACTGGTACCAAGAAAACAAAGCAAACAAACAAAAAAATATGTAGAATACCAAAAATGGTATATATAACAAATGATGAGTAAATATTTAGCTAATGGAACAAAAAAATTTAAGACCTTCAGGTAAGAAAGCATTAACCAAGCCTTAAAACCATCATAGGCAAATGTGAAATCACATCAATAATAGCTAAAAGTACAAATTTACTATGAAGCAAGAGCTGTTAAATAAGTTAGTGTCTGCACACTAGCTTTGTGTCTCTTCTGGGGATACTAAACCTTTCCATGTCTGTTTGAAGTGGAATCTATCATAATCTGAATGGTGGTGGAAAGACTTGATCAATTCTGGAAATGAATCCAGAAGAATATGTTGCCACCTTTCTATCACTTAGAACTGTGAACAGCAAACATTTTGCAAGCAACATTTAACTGAGTGAGACAGCTTAAATGGCATGCCTGAAGATTTCAAGGTGTAGTTTTAAGTTATTACTGGGAGAGATAAGACCACAATAAAACAGGTCATATCCACCATAAGTCAGGGGTTTCCAGGAATACCTGTATTCAAAAGACTCCTTGCTCTTCACTGATATGAGCTAGACTGAATATTTGGGGCATCTTTTCTCCCCTGCTGAATCCTCTTATGAGCCCCTAAGTGTAAAGATGCATTTTTCCCAAAGATCTTGAACCTTGCTTCCACCTATTTCTCATATCTCACCACACCATTTATATATCAGTGACTCCCAAATCAGGATCCTGAGCTCTAACTGCAGTGGCATCTGCAGTCGCCTCAATTGCCTCTGGCCAATGCAGTCCTACCTTTCTTCCTGTCTCTGCTAACATCACTACCTTACTGCACCATTGGTAAGCAAACAGAGAGGCAAGTTTTTCTTCCTTTTATCTCTCAGTTATACTTGTGTGTGCATGTATGAATGTGTGTGTGTGTGTATAAAATGTGTCAGATCTTTCAAAAGATATATGATAAAATTAAACTGTCAATTTTCACATCATCATATTCTAGGCTCTCAGGTTTGCAAATGCAGAGTTTCACTCAATTGCTAAGTGATACAGACTCTATAAACTTTCTTCCTTCCTACCTTCCTTTCCTGGTGTAAATCCTGATCTCTCCCACATGGAAAACATCCCAGCTAGTATCCCTTTTGATGGCTCACTCTCTTTAATCCCCCACACACTGCCAGATTAAGTCTGAACTCTGCAGGCTCTCTGGTAATTGGTTAAGTCATTCTATTACGCAGACTTTTAATGGGTCAGTGCTCACTGCTGAATTATTAAATCTTCCTGGACTTTCAGGCTCTTCACAATATACCATATCCTACTCCATCCAGTTTGTCTCCCATTAATCTCTTCCATGTGTACTTGCTTTTACTCAAAGCATATCACAGTCCCTGAACATCCTGTTAGCTGTTCTCACTCAATTCCTTACTCAACTGTTACTCTACTTAAAACACTCTCCTTAAATCCGTCTTTCATTTTCTGGAGTCCTTTCCATCTTCCAATAGCCATTAAAATTCATTTCAAAGGCTGCCTACTTGCTTCAGGTTACAAGTCAAAGTCTTTAAAATGAGATATCAGACTCTAAGTTGTATAGCCCAGACATGCATTTCTAGCCACATTTATTGTTTATTACTCATAGGCCATCCTTTAGATCCAAACATAAGTAAACCCTGCCTTTTCTCCATGTTTAGAGCTACTTGGAGACACTTGCTACTGCATCATACCCCATGAGGCAAGGAATCTATGAGGCAAAGCAATGTGCCCACCTGTAGCCCATGTTATCTACTCCTTCTAAACCATCTTCCAGGTAACAGAACCCTCAAATTCTTTGCCCGAAAGACACCCACCTTGATTATTATTGTTTTAAATATGGTAACACTAAAAGTTATCTGAAAACTTATACAGGTAAGAATAGCCAAAAAATTTGCTACCACACAAAATGAATTATACAATACTCAACTATTTTTGCTTAAATATTTGATCTTTGTTCTAAAACAGACTGCAAAATATATATCAGAAACTGACCCAAACATCTAAGGATGGTTTAGAATGCTATAAGGTAGTACTTCTACATCAATAGAATCACCAGAAGTATTTCGCCAAAAGTTGTATTAAGATGTCTGGTGAGCCATTTGAAGAAACAAATAAAAAGAGTTGATTACCTCATTGTTTACATTATAATTAAATTACAGGTAGGTAAAGATCATAATGTAAAAATGAAATTCAATAAATATCTAAAATGAAATGCGATAATTTAAATGATAATAAATTGACTAGCCATGTCATAAAGATCAGAATTCAAAAAGGAACAGATTTAGTACCAAAAGATTTAAAATTTACTGCATAGCACAAATGAAAATGCCATGCCAGATGCACTGTATTGCCAATACCAAGTACAATACATTAAAGGACAAGTGAAAAACTGAAAAATAATTGCAATATGTATATCAAAAAGTTGATTTAATTTGTCAATTGCTATCAAAAGAAAAAATAAATATATACACCTTGACCCAAACTTCACTTTTAGTGGTCATCCTCTATCCAATTACATGCATTTGCATGCTTATTGCAGTTTTATTTCTAATAGAAAAAAAACAAAAATCATAAGCATTAAATATCCATTGATTATTATTAGACAAGAGGAAAGGTAAAATGATTGGAGGGAGGGAAGTATAAAGGAAGATGATGGTACAAAGTAATACAAAATAATGGTATAGGGAAATATATGATCAAACTATGTTGTATGCATATATGAAAATACTACATGGAAACCCAATATTTTGAAAAATTAATAGTAACAAATTAAAAATTTTTAATTATAAAATAAGACATTAGTGGAAGTGAACAGACAATGAGTTATATGTACTATATATGCATTATTTATAATTGAGTGTCATATTGGAAATAATTTTAATATCCCTATTCTGGGCCATGTGTGCACCTTAAGTTTTAAATTAATATCTCATACCATTCTCAGTCAGTGGAAATTCACTTCACATATAGAATTTGGGCCATTAGCTTGTCAGTTAAGGTAAAATCTATGCTTAAGCAAGGAATGAAAAGAATTATTTTTCAACATTTTATTTCAGTTTAAAATATATATGTACTTTTTACTCACCAATACTTTAATGGATCCAGAAATTACAGAAAAATCCCATAATAAATCACATACTATGACAAATTTTGTTAAAATAAAGCAATAGCTCAAGGGAATTTAAAAATAAAATAAATGTCCATTAAGAGGAAACTCATTAATGAAGTACAATACAGCTACAAAAAGGAATGTCATGATTTATACACACTCTTTAGAAATAATTTCTAAGGGCCAGGGATATAGCTCAGAGGCATAAGCACCCGCCTGGCAAGCTCAAGGTCTTGAGTTGATTCCCGGTACCAAAAAAAAAGAAAGAAAGAAAGAAAGAAAGAAAGAAAGAAAGAAAGAAAGAAAGAAAGAAAGAACGAAAGAAAGAAAAGAAAAGAAATACTTGTTAAGTGTAAAAAGGACCAAAGTTCAAAACTGTGTCTATCACTTATGTAAAAAAAATAGTGTCTGTGCATTCATATTTGTTTATGCTTAAGCATTATTTAGGACATAAAAAGAACTCTTAAATTGGATACCACTAAGCAATTATATTGGAAGTAAAGGGGAGAATGCACTATTTATTTATGTCCCTCTTTGTTATTTGAAAATTTCACAAAGAGGCTATATTGTATTTATAATTCAAAATGTCCAGGCGGACACTGAAGACAATTCAGCATCCCTTCTTTTTAAATCTTTTTGATCCTTTTCCCACACTCATTACCTTGTTGCAGACAGGTTCCATTATAGGATTCCTCTCTTTCATAGCATGAATCCACACTAAATTGGAACTAGTTCTTTACATACATATTTCTCCTACCAGGCTGTGAGCTCATTGAAGGTAGACATACATGTCTTCATTTTTATATCACCTTCACGAAGCATGGCATCAAGCTCATTATAGATGGGCAACAGATGTTTGATAAATGAAAAAATCTAGTCATTTGTAAGTCATGTTTCTACTTTTCACAACAGATGAGAACGAAATGGCAAGAGGCAATGGTAGCACAGTGACAGAATTTGTCCTCATGGGATTCACAGACCGTCCTGAGCTTCAGCTCCCCCTGTTTTTGGTGTTCCTGGTCATCTATCTCCTCACCTTGGTGGGAAACACTGGCATGATCCTGCTCATCAAGGCAGACTCACGGCTCCACACCCCCATGTACTATTTTCTCAGTCACCTGGCATTCATTGATCTTTGTTACTCATCTTCCATTGGGCCCAAGATGCTGCAAAATCTGTTGGTGAAGAGAAAAACCATCTCCTTTTCAGGCTGTTTTGCTCAGCTGTACTTCTCCAGTGCTTTTGCCACTACGGAGTGCTTCCTCTTGGCCGCAATGGCCTATGACCGTTACATGGCCATCTGCAACCCCCTGATTTACACAGCTATCATGACCCAGCGGGTATGCAAGGAGTTGGTGGTAGGAGTCTATACCTATGGCTTCCTGAACTCTGTGATACAAACAATACTGACTTTCCAGTTGTCTTTCTGTGACTCCAATGTAATTCACCACTTCTATTGTGCTGACCCTCCTCTCCTGGCCCTCTCCTGCTCTGACACCCACAGCAAAGAAAAGCAGCTCTTGATCTTCTCTGTGGTGAATCTCACAGGATCCCTCCTGACTGTCCTTGTCTCGTATGTCTGCATTCTCTTCTGTATCATAAAAATTCAGTCTTCTGAAGGCAAATGCAAAGCATTTTCCACCTGTGCCTCCCACCTCACTGTGGTCACCATCTTCTATGGAACACTGTTTTTCATGTACCTGCAGCAACCTAAAGCCTGGAATTCATGGAAATACAACAAAGTGGTCTCTGTGTTTTATAGTCTTGTAATCCCAATGCTCAACCCTCTCATCTATAGCCTGAGGAACACAGAAGTGAAGGACACCCTGAAAAAATTGCTAGAGGGCAAAGAGTCACAGTGAGTGAATTATCAAAACGTGGCCTTATGAAAATATAATTGACATAGTTTAACCAATTTGATTAAGATTTAGTAGGCCAACTGATATCCAATCAAGAAGTAAAAAGTTCATCCAATTTGCAGTTTAAATGACCAAACTATTGGGCCACTTGTTTGACATAATAACAGTTAGTTCATTCAGTTATCACAGACCAACTAGAACTGATTTACAAGCCAAAATGTCATTAGCTATGTGCTTTATAATTTGAAAATGAAGTTGACTACAAATTTGATGACAATATAACCTCTAAATTTAAAAAACTTCTCTAAAGTAGCACTTTGGGTAAAATTATAGGTTAATATAGACGGATATAAAACTCACACATGAAAATGTGTTATTACAAACATTTTCTAGCTTAAAACAGTCTGTATTTGTAATCTGTTATTCTTAGGAAATATTTCTTCATAACACATTGCTATACACAGTAATTAAATTTCAACACCAGCTCACGTAAAGCTTATTTAGTCCAAATGTAATTGAAGTACTGCATGTTTTAAATGATCAGTAGAAAAATAGTATTATGGCAATTGTAAGGGGAGGAAGGAAAAAGAAAATTGTGGCTCAGTTAAAGGTGGGCTTTTTTAAAAAAAAGAAAGTTTAATTAGAAGATATAAAGAACCTGGGGTACTTTCAGAGATATTACAAGTACTTATTTACTCAATACTCAGGGTTTAATTTTTCTAGTTTCTGAAAACTAACATTATACTGACTTTTTTTCTTTAGTGGAAAAGAAAGAAAAATAGGGAAAAAAACAAAGGAAAGAGAGTGTGTCCTAAGGTAGCCAGACCAGGGTATACATGTTTCTGAGAAATAACATTATTATCTTAAATAAGTTAAATTATATAGAGAAATATTTTGGCTTTGCAATATTTTACACATTCTTTATTTATTTCCACAATTTGATATTCCAATTTCTTAAAGATTAATCTACATAAGTTCTTGCTGTTTATAGGGGCAGGTGAAAAAAATTCTTTAATTTTGTTCTTATGTAAGCAGGAATAGGAGATTTTTTTGTGAGTTTGAATTCTAATACTTCTTTCAAAATAGTTAGGATACACGTATCTGCCATAAACCATTAGATTTCTCTTAAACTGTTTTTGAAAGGTGACTGTTGTATGATTTTATAAATGGTTAAGAATATATTTCACTAATTCATTGCAAATTCATCAAGAAACTAAAAGGTTCCCAAGTTAACTTTTCAGATAAGGTGAAGTCTTTACTGGATTGTTGTTTGTGATTGCTTAATTTTAGAAAATTAAAAACAACTCAATATTAAAAATTGCTTTTACTTAGTACCAGAAAGCCTATATGAAGAAATACCTTGTATTACAAGTTGTATTCCTAAACACTTGGGATGAAGTATTGACTGTGATTAAAAACAAAAATATTGGCAGGATAAAGAAACAGTGAGGAAAGGTAGGAAGCCAGCCAAAAAAATGCAAGAGTTGCCCAGGTAATGAGCTCGAGGGGAATCAACAAAGTGGTAGTGCTGAAGGATGATATGAACCTGGATGTTAGACCATGAGCTATTTGTGACTAAATAGATTATCTTCCTCAGTTTACACCCCAGTACCTACCACAGTTCCTGGCATAGAACAGATACATCAGAATTGTCAGCTAAGTTGAACTCCTCTGTATTTAATTCTAATTCCAGTGGATGGCTGGATGTGGTACCCAGTAACAGTCCTGTGGCGGGAGAGTGAGAGAAAAGGAATTATTAGAGTTGTCCAGTAAGACTGTTTTTCAATATCCCCCAAACAATGCTTATATCTATAAATCAGAAAGACATAAAAAGATAACAGCACAACCTGACCAAGGAGAGGGATGCATTGGGGAAGTTGACCATGGGGAAGATGATAAGAGCTGGACCACAACAGACAAGGGATCTTTGCTATAAAAAAGAGGTGACTAACGGAAATAAAAATGAGCAGATATCAACACTTAGATTGAAAAGAGTGTTTTCAACACAATGCCACAATTCTTAAATTTTTTTCTCAAACTATTTTCAGATCAGTTTGATTTAGAAGCAAAAATAACAGTAAATAGAAAGCTTGTGTTTTAATACACAGTCCTTGACAAGTTAATTATATTCATATTTTCAAAGGAATATTTGATGTGAATATTTCTTTAGTTCTTTTCAGAAGAAACTAAAGATATGTCATGAAACCTCCCCAAAATAGCTTCCTGCTGTTGAATTTGTGCACTTTCTTCAATATGTTCTTTGATTCTCCTATAAAATAAAGCAGAAATAAAGAGTAATATATTCATAAATTGTGAAGCATATAAATCTATGTTTTCCTAAACTTCCAAAAGAGCTGAAAAACAAAGAATTAGGTATAAGGAAGGATCTGAATCAGCTAAATTTTGAGCATTTTTCTCTTTTCTGTCTTCACTGAATTTCCTTAACCTTGTAAATTTATCTCCATGACTTTAGCTTTATGAAGAAACATCTCAAGTGAAGAATTCTCCAATTAATTATTTACATTTTTTCAAAGTATATGGAATATCACAAACATGATCTTAAATATTATATTTAAATGATAATATTTAAGCCATAAAGTAAGCCAACATAATTACACATCTTTGTCCACTTATAAATTGAAGCTGTTTCAATCAACATATAATATACTAATTCTTCAGCCATTAACAAATATCTTCTGAATACATAAGTATTTCAAAATAATAGAATATTAATTGATTTTGAGTACATTATTTCATTGAAGGGAAACATAAAATTTCTCATACAAAACAAAATGCAAGTTCATTTTTCTCATGATAATCCTGAAAATGAATTTTATTTCCCAGTCTTCACTGAATAGGCAGTTTTCGCTAAAAAAAAAAAAAACTATATATAACCAAAATATATGACATATGCTTATGAATATATAAATTTACACTCATCTGTACATAAAGTGCAGAATTTTTCAGTTAATAGAGATTTAAATTTCTTAGTTATCCTCATTTAATACTTTGGTGGTTTTTGTGCTTAGAAATAGACCAAAAGGATTTTTTTTTTATCAAGCTGAAAACAAAAAGGAAACATGACAGGAATTATCCTTTCCATTATACTTTTCTATTTCCCTTCATATTATTTCATATTATTTCACATACAAGTGTTTGAGAAATTAAGCATTTTAAAATCTCCAGTGTGTGTCCCACATTGTCAAGTCTGCCCTGGACATACAGTTCTGACATTCTTTGATGAGCAAGATGGAACACCAAAGTGTCAACTCAGCGCCAGGGAGGGGCTCTGCCTGCAATTCAGTGTTCCATCCACCAGAGATAAGGAGCCTCTGAAGCCAGCACTTGTAGAGGTTAGATTTCTGGACAGTGACAAACATCTTACTTTTCCACCCAGGTTGCCAGAAAAATATAAATAAACAGAACTTCCACATCTGATTAGATAGCGTAGAGTGGAAACGGGAAAAAATTGTCATTCTTTTTCAAAAATCAAATGAGTATCTCTTAGGTCTTTGAGGCGGCTTGACTGTCCTAACAGTTTCCAGAAGGCTTTGTTCTGTGGAGTGAAAAAAATATTTTATTCCCACAGGTTTATTTTTGCTTGGGTGTATTGGCCGCTCTGGCACCTGGAACCTACCAACCTGCAGCTTCTGCTCCTTGCTGCAGGTGACACTGGTTGCTGACTGCGCTGGATGTGGTGTGAGGTGCGTGAGGAGAAGGGACCCAGATGAGCCAGCCAGGCTCAGGCACTGTCAAGCCCATCTGTGTGTCACTCTCAGCTAGGGATGGTGCATGACAGCAGGTGCCTCAAGTGTGGGCAGGAGTAGAGAGAGTAAAAGGTTTGTGTCTAGACTTCTCATCGAACATCTTTATTCCATTTTTATTCTCTTTTAGAAGGATCTACTCTTAACTTGCTTGGCCCCCATCATTCCCTGTTTTACTTGAAATCAATCTATTATTATAAATAGTGTTTTACTTCATTTGCCTTAGCAAAAATAACAACTAACTTTCCTTAGAAATCTTTCAGATGCAGAATTTAAATTAATGCTGATTATAATGAAGCAGAAAATTGAAAAGAAATCCATTAGATGTTATTTGTATTAAAGGACAGTATGTCATGAAAAAGTAGCATTTTGAACTATCTTTCCACCTTATCACAAATCACAAAGGGGTCCAAAAGTGGCCATCTGCACAAAATAGCAACTCTATCAACTGTAGTCTAGTCTACCGTCAAGTACTGTACTTTAATTAATTGTCAAAAACATTATCTGCTAAGCTTTTATTCCAAGCCTGTTCATATTTCCTTGTACATTAAAGTATTAAATTTACCCAAAGATTATGTCTGTGGGACCTAACCTATAAGAGTAGATTAGTAGCACTTGCATTGCAAGCAAGCAAATAAATTATTCTGGACCTGAAAAGAATGTATGGTTTAGGGGGTGAAAAGTTCACTTACAAAAACTAAAACTTGGTCCTCAAGAAAACATCTGTGAAAAATAAAATTTAAGTTTTAAATAAGCAGACCTGTGGAAGTACAGCAATATAATAGAGAGGGGGCTGGACAGGGAAACTCAAGGTTAGACAGAGCTTAGTCCCAAATCTGCCCTGAACTGCACTGTCAATGAAATAAGCCTTGGCTTTTTCACCTGGAAAAGGTACAAAATAATATCTCACAAAGTTACCATAAGGACAAAATAGCACAGAGTATGCTAAACTATATTTTAAGCATTATAAAAGTACTACCCTTTTATTTTTGGTAATCACTCTACCACTATGACCTGGGCTCAACTTTCAGAATCTTTGACTTGAAACTACTGTTTGGAAAGTCCTTGCTTAAAACTGTTTTTACATATAGCTGTATGCTAGAGAGATGAAATATGGAAGTTGCTTTTATCAATAATGAAGTTTCTTCATCTCATCTACATATCTGGAGAACATTCTACAGTTGGTTTCTTCCTTACAGGAGCCCTGCCCCAATATCTCTTTGCAAGTCAGTGACTTGA